GAAACCGAACGGCTATCAGCTAATAACTTAGCGCGGTCCGCTCCAGACCTAGAAATAATAGCCTGCGTAAAATTTACATAATAATGAAAACTGCACGTCTGAGTTTCTTAACACTGCCAGCTTTTCGACACCGCCATGTAAAGCTAGGGTACTAACGTTACCTTCATTGGCTAGAGGAGGCAGCGGAGGCAGTGAAACTCGAGCATGTGTTCAACTAGTTGGTAGCAAACTACTAATGGTGCATGTAATTGCATTCTGTTCGCGAAAGAAGAGCATAAAGTTTGAATAAGATTGTAGGATTGACGCAGTAGTAAGAACAATGCCAAATTCGCGACCTGTGACGGATAAGGTAGGCCATCACATCACGGTCATCACATACTAACGCAATATGTCCGAATCGCTAACATCTTGGAATTGGAAGCATACAAATTGCATAAAACTTTCTGACTCAGTCATTATCAAAAAATTTCCTATTCTCAAACATTTTGTTCTCATGAGAGTGTAGTAGATCGCCAGTCAAGTTTTTAGAATATGCGTTGCCACTAAGAGCAGTGCCTTAAATGTCTGTGTACAAAAGCAACAAAACAGTTTCAAACAAAAATCTTAGAACCAGCTTTCAGAACCGTGTTGACATCAATGAGGCAACCATAAACCTTTACAAGGTAGATCTTTTACATGCCTAACGTTCCCATCTATTCATTCAGTAAGAGCATGTTTTTTGAGCTACCAATGTTTTTACTACATTAGTTGTCGAGTATGAATACTTTGCATCTTCATGAGGGATGTCAAACAGTAGGGAGAAAACAACATAAAAATCACCGAAAATCTGGGTAAACAACTCGCTGTGATCGTGTGCATTGTGCTTAGCAGAGCACCAAAAATAGCTTTCTCTCCTTTCAAAAATGAGAAAAGTTATTGTGAAACCATTGAAGTATCCACAGATAATTCTTTGAAGAAATGATAGATTTCCTACCTCGCATTCAATCTTAGTCTCAATCTCTGAAACCTTTTTCTTTACGCTAGATTTGAAATCGGAACATTCGTTTTTAATCGGAACCGAAGTGCGGAAGTTGCTTGTGTAGGCTGATTTTCAGAAGACTGCGCTCAAGCACTCTGTGGGTGGTTCAGCTTTCGACATGGTTGTAGTATCTGCCCAGCTCTCAGCTCGTAAAATAACGTCGAAAGTCGGCCCAGGCTGTTCCTCTTCTTTGTTCAGTTCTCCTCTCAAGATGTTCTCCATTTTCCCAAGCGTCTAGATACACCTGGGAAGACGTTTTCATGATCAAAAAAAACCAAAGTTATCCACCATCTCCGCACTTTTACAGGGGATGTTTTCCATAGACTAAGTCTTCTTCCGATTTATACGCAGTTCGAACTTCTTCCCTTTCTCAGAAGTTCCTTCAGCGTCGACCTTCAAGACGTTTCCATGACAAAAAGTAAACTTGTATACTCCTCTATAAGAGAGCGATATCGTTTGCAAAACGAAGACTTAGGAGGAATATCCCCTCGACTTGTATGCCCCCCCCCTTCGAGTTCAGTGATTTCATCGCTCACTGCAAGTCCTCAGTGAGCAGTTTCAGCAGAATTGTCGGACCCCCTTTTCAAATGGGATGGTTAGGAGCGATAGAATTACTGCATCGTCCTTGTACAATCCTTGTAGCAGTCAGTGGATGTCCTCACATAAACCGGGACTACTCCTTGTTCGACTATCGCAGACAGTAAAAGGTTAATATCGACGCTGTAGAAGGGGGTCCAACTTCGGCTGTTCAATAATCTTGGCATTGTAGTAGATATTGCTGTGTCGTCTCTTTGAGCAGCAACCAAGATGTTATAACTTTTATTCAACCGGCCAATGTTTCGGCTTTTTCGCCTTCGTCAGAGCCTGAAAAGTCGAATGTATAAGTGACGCATCTACTCAGACGCCAACATCAAAGCTCAAGATATCATTCAATCCGTAAACAGTACGAAAGCTAACGGACCGCCAGAACTCACCTTAGATGACACAACAGCAGGCGCATTGACCACCGAATGTGGGGAATGTACCTCCACCTCTTTTTATAGCAGCCGTGTGACCTGGCCTTATATCAAAACCTACAGAGGGATTGATATGGCGCGAGTTCATTAGTTACCGCCAGGCACTCTTCCTTCCGGTTCATTTTTGGACACTTGGCGTTTATCCAGAATGCCTCCAAAGTTTTGCGCGCCAGCAGTTCGGGCTCATAGGCCAGTATCTTGACTCCAATTTGTACCTCGGCGCTTTCATGCTGCACGATGATATGACTACCTAAGGGTGTTGATGGTTTTAACTTATGCAACCCGTCCAGGTGTTCCTTAATGCGTGAGCAGAGGGGGCGGCCCGTTTCTCCTATGTATGTCTCATCACACGATAAGCATGTGATGAGATACACCTACTCCCGAAATCATACAGTCGCCCTCCTTACCGTATGAACGAATTACACAGTTTGGCGTCAAGCATGTGCGATCGTATGATCGATTCCGGACCGTCGTCGTTTCGGATTGGGCGGCGGAATATCGACCACCCTAACGCTGTCTTGCAAACCCGCCTGGTATACGCAGCGCCGCACCGCAGTGCTAATTTCGTCCGAGATGAACGGCAAGCAAAACGCGATTTTTGTTAGTGTCGTATCCAGGAAGCTGGTACTGGTTCTACGGCCTGCTAATCCGTGTGGGTTAGAAGTAGGCTCTGCACCAGCATACCCATTAGACTTGGCTACTTGAGAAGCTAAATCCATAGAGTAAATCCGTTCTTGGATACCCGAAGAAACTTTTGCTGCTGTTCGATACATATTACCTATAATTGCCCTTTCAAGCTTTCTGGGGTGCGCGGACAGATAATGTACCAGTATATTTTTACAGCTGGGTTTGCGGTACCATTTTGTCTTATATTCTCCACCCGTCAGGCATACTTGTACGTTCAAGAACGGCAGCTAGTTTTCATGTGGTTTTTCCCGCGTGAACTTGATGTTTGCGAATTGCTGATTGAGGAGATTGAAGCATATATCCATCTCGGTTTGAGTGGGACAGATTATGCAACAATCATCGATGTAGCGACAATACAGCAATGGCTTTCTGGTAAGCACGGGCGCTTCCACTTTGGACATGAAGACGATGGCTAGCGTTGGAGCTAAACGTTGTCCCATAGCCAAACCCCTAATTTGCCTGTAGTAATGACCCGACCAGCAAAATATGGAACAGTTCAAGCAGTCATGACGTCGCCAATGCTAAAGCCGTACAGACTAAGAGAAGCTTGATGCTCCAATTTGTACCTTAGCGCAGCATGAAAGCGTCGAGGTACAAATTGGAGTCAAGATACTAACCTACGAGCCCGAACTGCTGGCGCGCAAAACTTTGGAGGCCTTCTGGATAAACGCCAAGTGTCCAAAAATGAACCGGAAGGAAGAGTGCCTGGTGGTAACTAATGAACTCGCGCCATATCAATCCCTCTGTAGGTTTTGATATGAGGCCAGGTCATACGGCTGCTATAAAAAGAGGTGGAGGTACATTTCCCACATTCGGTGGTCAATGCGCCTCCTGTTGTGTCATCTAAGGTGAGTTCTGGCGGTCCGTTAATCTACCTTGGCTTTCGTACTGTTAACGGATGGAATGATATCTTGAGCTTTCATGTTGGCGTCTGAGTGGATGCGTCACTTATACATTTGACTTTCCAGGCTCTGACGAAGGCGAAAAAGCCGAAACGTTGGCCGGTTGAATAAAAGTTATAACATCTTGGTTGCTGCTCAAAGAGACGACACAGCTGTAGAAGGCTTTCATGTAACGACGAAGTTTAGGACGAAAGGCAGCCGCTGTTCCCGGGAAATTTCTAGGAGCCTTGATCCGTCTAGATGTGGCTCATACAGCTTTTCCTTTGCGAAATCCCTTGTTCTTGGGGTTGGGCCTCACCTGGTGTCCTTGATACGTGAGCAAGGATAATTTTATGGAAAGCGTGTGATTCGCAGGCAAATTCAACGGTGATTCCTAAGATCTTCTTCGATTTTCTTGAAAGAAAGGATACTCTTCGACATTTCCCACTGGTCGGAGTTTATCTCATGTCGGGGTAAGACGTTAGCTGCGATGCGAGAATCTCATGCGGAAAGACGCATGGCTCCTGAGCCATTCGTCGAACTCCTCCGGCGCAGAAGATCGACGGAGAGGTGACTATGGAGCTATAGAACTTTTCGTCGTCTGACTCGCAATGGGCATTTCATCGGGTAGAATTCGTGGTGGTACTTCTACAATGCGAACAACTGACTGATTGTCGGACTTGCAATAGGGATAAAAGAGGAATGCTCCTTCTTGCGATCCAGTGGAAGAGAAACATCTATGGAGAACTCACATTATAGGAAGAACAGTCGGATCATGGAAAGTAAGCATCTGACTGCTAGCATGAAGAGCAAAATGTTTTTGAGGACATCAATGAAATGGGAAGATGCGTATTCAAAACCGGGGGGGGGAGGAGGGTGGAACAGTTGAAAATCACCTGAGCACGATTTTTTCTCCAAGTCGTGCATGTAGCGCCGAATGCCACGAGCACTGTGAATGTCGCAAGTGACTTTTTTTTGCTGGTGCGCAAACAATGTTCCTTCCATTTCCGATTCTCATCTCCAAAGAAAGTAAGAATTTTCATCCGTGCAAACTTATGCACACAAAGCAGAAAGTAAGGGTGCCATGGACCAAGGCTAATTCCACGTAGAAAAGTACATTTGTTTTAGAAGGGTCATGCCAGCAAACGATATTCTAGTGTTTGGCTCTGCATTTGTCATTTCTAACCAACGGTGGTTTACAAAAAGAGGATATAAAGAAAATGATAAGCAGCTTCTATGGGTGTATGAATGAGGAAATTATTCACCTTTACTTGTTAATAACATAAACTTTTGTTTTATTCTCTGACTGTTATTCACAATCTTTTCTGATCTACCTGGCATATACCTGTACATAAAACAGATTCAAAAACAAACACACACACCAAAAATGGCAGTGGAAGGCAAGACATCTCGACCAATGCAAACATAAGTATCTGAGGCAACTGAGGAAAAACTGTACAGTATGAGGTGACTATTATGTTGGATCAGTAGCGATAGCCGTGATTGTCGATTGCCTGCGGATGTTCTCTGTAGTCCCGTGGATCCCTTTGTTCAGGGTAGTAGGGATCGCGACGATTGTCGGGTGAGTACGCATAAGTGGATGAGGATCCGCCAGGGTAGGCTCGATTATCGTACTGAAAAAAGTTGCTATCAAGATCTCCTAACTGAAAAATAAATGCATTTTTTACCATCCTACCGCATTCCGTCATGCTCTCAAAGATCGTTACGGTAAATTGAAGTAGATTAGTCTAAGGTCAAGAAAGTGCAAAAGAAAATGTGATTTCCAAACCCTGTCCTTAATCTACAAATTGGCTGATATTTTTTTGTGATCAAGGTCGTGATGTGTTTTTTCTCAAACAACTTGTTTAGCACATTTATCCAAGATGTAGCCATCATAAAAAAAATGTGACATCTGTAGAGATCTGAGCATCGCTTAGGATTCTCGTTCTGGTTCCGGATTATCTTTACAAAAAAGTACAATTAGTAATTTTTGAAATCTTATATCTAAAGCTAAATATCTGTTTGTATGTCTGTATGTCTGTATGTCTGTATGTATGTCTGTATGTACGTATGTTCCGAATAGAAAATTCCATTTTTGAACCGATCGGGACCAAACTTAGCACACACTTCGGGCCCCGGCGGGTGTCATAGGCTACTTTTCGTCATCGATCGATATCGATTTTATCGATTTTTTGCAAAATTTGAGCTACGGGGCTGGGAGTTGGCACAGGGGGGGGGGGTAATCGAGCATGCTGATCACCCCCGTGGGGGTGATCAGCATGCTCGATTACACCCCTCTGCCAAATTCCAGCCCCCTAGCCCAAACTTTGCAAAAAATCGATGAAATCGATATCGATCGATAACGAAAAGTGGACTGTGACACCCGCCGGGGCCCGAAGTGTATGTGTGCCAAATTTGGTCCGGATCGGTTGAGAAATGGAATTTTCTATTCGGAACATACGGCGGAGTCGGGTAAGCCAGCTAGTTTTTTGTAAGCTAAAGGTTATCTTATCACCAAAACAGAGGCAGTACCAAGTACTCAGTTGGTCGCGGGAAGAAATAAAGATTTGCTATTTCAAAGATATACGTGCTTTTTTTGCTACTCTAGTGAGTCTGTTAACATATTGAGCTTCTTAAACACCAAAATTCAAAATCCGTACCAGTTATCCATATCTTAGATCATTTATAGTAGACCTATCACGTGACTCCAAGTAGCTCACAAAAAAGATCACGAGACAAGTGTCGTTCAAAATTTTCCGAACGAGCTTTGGTTTTTTTCAATTTTTGTGCTTCTCTATATATTCCATTGCTAATTTAGATACAACATACTTTCGCATGAATTATGTTGTCACTGCTTTCTCATTACTAATGAACTGTAGTGTATTTAAGTTAGCGCGATATTGAGGGGTAAATCGCTGTGAGTGAACTGTTGTGCCCTAGGAAATAATTTTTGTTTTACCGCTTTTTTTGTGGGATCTAAACCATCATTTCATTCACTTTGAATTTCTAAGGAAAGCTTACGAAAAGAAGAAAAAAAACGATTTTGGGATTCTGAAATGTTTTTTCTGGAAAATGTCGCAAAAACCACCCAGTTTTATTAGATAATCATTTCCACACAAGGGATTCAAGTTAACAGCATTGCAAACACATTCAGAAATAATCCCTTTGGTTCGATAAAATTCTTATGCCCTGAAATCGCATAGCAGTACTGTAGAAATAAAGGCAGACTTGCAATTGTTAACCTTCCTTTTACTTTACTTTTTCAGCCACTTTAGAAACAAGGAATGCAGTGCAGAGATACCTTGGAAAAAGTATATAACCCACTGCAGCACGGACTTGTATGATTGAATAAAACAGAACTAATGCTTCTGACAGTTGCAAAATTGGTAAAATTAGATCATAGTCCCAACCAAAATTACGTTCATCAGCAACTTTTGAAGGTCAATTATCCAAGCGAATCATGAATACGAGACTGTACGGACTTCTTGATCAATTTACGATTGCAGCACCTTACGGAAAGGTGAGAACATTACTGATGAGTGAGTTGAAGGCTACCATGGGAGTTAATCCCCATCAATTTGAGTGTGCATCTATACGTTAATTTCCCACAGTATTAGCGCGCAATGTGACCACACGGGTAATTGATGTATGCTTACAATAAATGCGGCCTTCCACCTGCCCCGAGAAGCAACTTAGTAGCATTCTGACGATGTTGGCAAACTTGTTTGGAAAATGTTTGTACGGCGTTAGAAAAAGCGCAGAAAACAGCACGCCATCCATCACGGTCGCTGCACACGGGCATGATGGCGGCAGGCACCACAAGAGAGAAAAACTTTCCGTAGCCTAGAAAAATCGCGCGCGTTTTCGTTTTTGCTTTTCACGATAAAATCTCAAAAAAATCTTGATTTATATGCTTCACATCAGATAGTATGGCATCCCATAAGTCATGCATCAAAAATCTGAAAAATCCATTCAGAGATGTGAAAACCTCTGATATGATACGCAATTTTGTTAACCCACTGACGACGACGCCTAATTTTGCATGAAGGCGCTGTGGGACGACGCGATTGCACAACACTTTCGGCGTGGGAAGGTTTTGCGATTACTTACGAAATGCAAGGTCGTTTTATAAGTTGATATAAACATTTTCCTGAACATCGGAATCAACTAGTCCCAAAAGTGCAAAAAATTGGAAAGACTATTGATCTGTGAAAAGAATACTAGACCTGAAAATGATATGACTTTGTAAGAGGTGTGGGCCACCGGTGGTCCACATCGTCCCTGGCAGCAACAAGTGCGGGGGCCACCGGTGGTCCACATTGTCGTCAATGGATTAAAGAGGAAATGTGTGTATTTCACTGCGTCTTTCGTAGAATTTATATATGATAACAACATAAAAATTGAGAATAAATTATGAAAATCAAGCTATTTATAGAGACATGCTCAGCCAAATTTTTTCAGTTGGAAAGACGAATTTATTGAAGTTTTATAAGATTCTGCAACTCCAAAAGTTTCACATTGTATAGTTTTCTTATCAGCTTATATCGCTGATGTCAACAACAAATTTCTTACTAATTACTACCACTAAGAAAAGCACATTTTTAGCAATGTCGTCAAATAGACAGTATCTCTAAATTGGAGGAGGTAAGGCACTTCAAGAATCTGAAAAGGCTTATTTGACATCCTTGACAGAGGGGATGATAGTTTTTGAGCTTAGTGCAATATTTCTTTGAAAACCTTACAAGTTACTCGAAATGGAAACGGAATCAAGGTGAAAAGAGTTTTCGCTGCACCAATTCTAAGACTACGGCCCGTAGTAAACCCCCCGCATGTGCTGACGTATAGCTCGGAGTCTGCTGTGACATGTGCTGACTACCATGGAGCGAGGCAGGCAAGGCGGCTATCCTTTATCATTGCCGGCGGATGCAATCGATGCGTAGCGTCAGGGTAGTCGCACTTTGTCGCGATATGTCGCGACATATCGCGACATATAGCGACATATTGCGACATGTCGTGACGAACAAGACGGCGAAATACTTTGTCCATCATAGAGACGCAGAGACATAGCGCAAGACTAGAGCTCGACTACGCCAACCTCGCAATAGGTCGCACATGCACACAGTTCTCTAAAACGCACGTCAACTGCAATCAATATCAGCAGCTGATAGCGCCTAACCGTCCGAGCAATGCGGCGCTCCCATTTGCTAGATACTTCTGCTTTGTACACCCGTTATTCAGAAAAAGGTGAGTTGTTTTCGACGTAAATGTAAATTTGGTCACATTTTCTGCTTGCTAATTCGTGCTTGTGCTATTTTTCTTTTTTACTTTCACATTGCGCCTCATGCGCGCACCAAATCTCTTTTTCGTGCTAAAATTCCTCAAATTCCTATCTCTTCTTCAATCCTAGCATTTTTAAACACATAGTTTTGCTTGAATTGCTGTTCGTTAGCCGTACACCTCTCGCTTCCCTTCTGTTTTTGAGAGAAGGGACCGTCTGGTGCTATGGCTAAAGGAATAGCAAATTTTCGAACAAACTAAGGTAGTAAATGTTTGATGATATTTTCATTTTTCTTATGCACTTCCAACACCGACTGCTCTGAATGCAATTTTCTCTTTACTACCAGAAAATTTCTTAATATGAGTTCATTTGCATGAAAATTTAACTATTAACAAATTGCAAAAGGCGGCATCGCGTAGGATTCGAACTCTTTCCCCTTGGGCACGCTGGCCTCTGACACTGGCACTGCGCTATCTACGCGTTATCTTCAAATGCTTTATATGTGCATTTTTACACCTATTGCGAGAGCAGTACTTAATTCTAAACATCAATATTACGAATCAGACAAACTGCAAGTAAAACTGCATGTCGCGTGCCCCTACTGATTTTGCTACAACAGCTTTATTTGCTACGCGCGTTCTTCCTCTCCTAGTAAAACGCAGTAACCTCGGTACTTATAGCGCAGCGCGTGTGAGCGCTGTTATCGCTGTCATCAGCGGTTCGATGGCACGCGAATGCGCTCGTTTTGCGGCGCTCTGCGGATAGCTCGCTATAGTCTTGCGAGATACTCCGAGCTATCACGACATAGTCCCTCTATGTTGTGACAACCACGAGGGGTTTACTACGGGCCTACGTTTCTTTTGTCACAGACAAATTTACCGCTTTTTACACAAAGGCCTGGAGATGGAGATAAAAACTTATTATCTTTTTTAGGATAAAAAATTGCTGAAAGCTTTGAAACAAATCAAAACCACAGAATCTATTGAAGAATCTAGTTCTGGTTCGCGAGTGATACTGCTCAAGTGAAAGAGGAATGAGAAGAGGCCAACTTTGAGTTTTCCGGCAGCAAATTATCCAACTTCAATAAGTTCTATTGAACTTTGTACAGGACTATGACCAATGTTAACGCAATAGAACTAACTTCCCGAGAGAACCACAAATTGTTTTGGGACATCAAAATATTTGCTCAGAACACAAGAATTTGTTTCCACTTTCGGGTCTGCCAAACTTGTCTCATCGGTGAGTCAAGAGGTAACTTGATTGTTCCTTTAATTTAATTTTACAATTTTGGATCTTCTAAAGATTCAGGAAATGCACCTCAGTAGCTTCAACAGACAATTTTTCGCTCTTAAGCTGACGACAAACTGACTCATGGTCAAAAGATAAAGCCATAATCAGCCAACCTGTGGATCCATGACGATACCATTTCGTCGATTATAGATTCGTTGAAACTTAGCAATGATGATCATCAGTAAGGAGATCTGAAACCAGTCGATTTAATGGTAATGCACTGAATTAGCTAATGCTAAGCATTTAGAGAATTCACTCACATGGAAGAATTGCAATCCCAGGAAGAAGATTCCTGTTGCGATTCGCGCCAGGTTACCCTAAAAAATCAAATAAAAAATAGTCATTTTCAAGAAAATTTCGGCGCTCTCAGGAAGGAAAAATTATAAGGTTCTTCTTACTTTACCTAAAATGGTTTTGCGCACACACAACCTCCTCAGGTTACTCTATTACACTTTATGCACCGTCATCTATTCATTTTACTACTTTTTTCCTCGTTTTCCCTCCTTTATCCCGCCCTCCCCCCCCCCCCCGCCGCCCTCTCTTCCTTTCCCCCACATCCTACATTCCTTGCGTCTGACACATTTTCAAGTCACACGTCGTAGTCTCATTCTATCCGAATCGTCGTTTGTTCCAAATAAATGGAATTGCGTTAGGTCAACAAAAGCATGGAATGCGTCGTGTCGTTCGCATCACATCGAGCTGTTTTTTTCTCCCATCGCATCGCATCGCGATATAACGGCGATTTACTGTTTAACGGTCGTACCACAAGAACAAAGTGTCACCGGGATGTAGCGAATCTATGTGAATGCATGCGAAGGCTGTGGTTCAATTACGGAACTTCTCAATGGGTAGAAGTAGAATCTGGTTTCAGGCAGGATCTACGATCCCGGATAAATGTAAATTAGCGTACAGTAGAAGAATTAGCAATGTAAGTCCGTTTACTTCAAAGAAAATCGAGAAAAAAAATAAATTAACAGTTGGAGTCCCGAAAAAAATTGTTCTATTGCCCCACACTTCATAGTATTATTTTTTATATAGTAGAAGACAGTCAACAATTTGGCGTTTAAGTAGTTACACTTTAAGCTCAAATATACCAATTATTTCGTCAAAAAAAAGATCAAAATTGGAAAAAGGTCCTATGATAATTTTCAGAACTCATTTCATACCTTCTATTGCTGCTGTTTCCTACTAGGTCTAGAAAGTTTGATTACGTGAAAATAAAAAATCTTCAATACTTCTTTAAAAAAAGCTGTAGATGTATGTCACCGTAAAAACGCATTTTTCTAATGTTTCAACTTCTTACCCAGTTGTTTTTACCAAGTTTCTAGTTTGCGCTATGCAAGAACTCGATCCTCCCGAATTGCCTTTGTATTGCCACTATTACTCCAGCAAATCCAAAAGATCTAGACAGATGAAACGAAGGCAGAAGAGTATTTTTAAAAGATGAAGGAAAGATAGAAGATGAAAATATACAAGATTTTATAGTATTGCCTTTATATTTACTATTACTCATGTCTGTGATTGTAAAAATGATACAACAATTAGCCCTGTCCCTGCCATATTTAAAATTTTCCTGAAGTTTCTAGGGTTTTAGAAAGGACAAAAAGGCATAAAACTTATGTTGTAACCTGATCTGAGTTGTATGTTCTTCCAGAACAAAGATGCACTAATCATAAGGTTGTGTAATAATCGTTTGCAATTTTTCAATCAGCTTTTCCTCTTTTTAAGGCGTTAAGTATGATGTGCATGTGCTTTTGGAAGATGCCACGTTCGTCTGTAAATCGTGGTTTTTTTAGAATTACAAAATAGCAAAGCAGTTTCAAAAACGTAAGAAGATTTTTATGGCGCATTAACTGTTCGGAAGTGCTTAATAGTTTCACAGAATTAGTTTGCAAATTCAAAATTGAGTCCGCTTTTTGATATCTCTTTGAATTCAACGTTTGGGTCAAAAGGTAATACGAGAGAGCAGAACAGGATAGTGTGTAATTACAAAACCATCCGATTCATGGTTCACGTAATGGAAAATTCAAGATGTAGGAGGGCCTACCACTTGAGTGGCGTAAAAAAACAGAGGCAGTACTTACGCAAGCGATTGAACTAAAGTTCTGCTCGTTCTCACTTTTTTAGATAAGGTTTATCAATGAAAAATGGGAAAATTTTGAGCCAGAAAAGATGCTGAAATGGGATTATTTGTTTCCTCGGATTTTTTGTTTTGAAGCTAAGTTTTCTCTAATTTTTTGTAACTTGAGCGAAATGCGCATTAGAGCTTCACGTATAGTCTCTCTAGCAAACACAGCATGAAATATTAGAAAAAAAAACAATTTCTTTCCAATTTGGTCACCTATGGTTGAAGAGTGTTATTAATTTTCTTGCCCATTTCTGCAAATGCAAAATATCAACAGATTGGCCATTTTTCTTCTCTCCATGCTTGTGACTACAAAGATTTATGCACTAATCAAGGTCGGATTGTGGCCATGACGGAGATGATGATTTGAGATGTTCATTCGTAGTGACATCATGTAATAAATCTTGATGATCAGTTTTTCTGCTCATTCACTGCCCCGTTCGACTTTTTCTTTTTAGATGAGATTAGATGGGGACTGCTAAGCTACTTCAGAAAACACTCTCTAGCAGCTGATCAGTAAAAAAATCAGTTTTGAGTACGATCGTTACGCCTTGAGAACTTTTGTACAAAATTTCAACAAATTGATTTGAAATTATCCACATCCTTTTCTGGTGTTTCACTTGTGGTAAAAAAATGGCATTTACTAGCTTTACTAGCTTTACAGCAAGTTTTACTACAATAAAAAATGTTCAAAACTTCAACAAGCATGCATTTTTCGTCTGCTGGTTCCTAAAAGGCAGAAGTATTGTAAAAATTTTGATTTTACAAGAGCGTTGAACGCGTTGAATGAGGGCATAAGCTTAAAAGTCTAAAGAAGCTTGATAGCATCGGACCAAGTGTATGAAGGCATTACAAAGAAAATACAAGGAAGATATGAATAAAAATAAGATAATAATCAACACAGTTTCCCTTGCCAATTTTGCACTTCAATGGTAATGAGATACCGTACGATATTTCAAAATAACCGATCATGGTAAAAAATTTCTTCGCCCGCGTGATATACATTCTTCGCCTCAACTTCCTAAGGCGGCGCTATGGAAAGTAATGGAAATGAATGCTACTGTCAACATTCTCAGCTTTTACACTCCCCCACCCCGGACCAATGCGTCCAACTTTACCAAACTCTATTCCCACATTGTGTCATACGACCCTGAGCGTTGTGGTTACGCAAGAAGCTAATCCTCCCTATGACAGGTCTGGCGCTTCCAACTAGGTGGATGAATATCTGCGAACATGGCTAGCATTCTAACCGGTTCTTTGCAATAATGGTGCTAAGCGGTAGTCACCTTTCTGCTTCCAGTCTAGTTCGGTATCGATTCATGTGGCATTTTTTTACGGTGGAAATTTGGTTGGGATATAGCTATGAGAAAAGATTGCTTAAAAGCTGAATTTTCTAAAGAAAATGGACATTTCATGAACGATAAGGGTGCGCAATAGATCGGCGTGAACTTTTTGGGTACAGTTCTAGGAGCTGACAAGTTTTTGTAGAATCAATTTAGTATTTTGAAAAATTTTCTGATAACAACACAGTAGGTTTTCCTCTTTGTGGAACAAGTTTTTCCAATTTGTTCCAGGAGATTCTCAAGTATATTCCTTTGCAAAAAACCTTACAATGTCTGAAGAGTCCCGGAAAAGGGAGACTGTTCTTTTTTTTCAAGTCTTGTCTCCCTTTTCCTCGAATTTCGCTCCTCAGCCCTCTTTTGCAGAAAATTCTAAGACTTGCACGTGTCCGGCAATTTGCACTTTTATGAAGGAAAACGTTGGATCCTTCTGTGACATTTTTTTTGACAATTTGTCCTAAGAAAAACATCTGCGCTGAGGGAGCTTCCAATCCTCTTCGATTTCAACTAGACACGTCATATAAGAGAAAAAATATATATTTCCAAATTAATGAAGAAAAACCCACTCGACACTTTGCCTACCCAAAAATTTCATAAACTTGTCTTTTGGCAAGGTGCTCAGACCCGATAGTATTTTTTTTCCATTTTGAAATTCTCCAAAACTCTTTTTCGCTTCTGCCGCCTAAGTGGGAATATGCTGAATAATTTTGAAAATTGATTGAGTGAACTCTTAGTTTCATTTCATGTGTAGAGCATCAAATACTGAATTTTTTACTTTATACCAAATTTTTTCCAACACAAGAATAATCATAGCTTTTTTGGCCACACAGCCTTTGAAGTGCAAGCACTACTCTTTTTCTTTGAAATCTTTCCTAATGACTGCAAAATCGAAAAGCCAACTTTGATTTATGTCTTGCAATGCGCGTGGTGTGATATAAAAACCAACGTCTCACATGTATCCGTAAATGGCTGAATCAGATTCACGAAAGATGACGCGTTAGTGTTTTTTTCTAAATGAAGCAAGTGTGTCTTGGAAAATGCTTCGCATTCCCCATCCAGAAAGCGAAGAGATGGGAAACTGCATGAAGGTGAAGAAATATTACAGCGAAAAAGCTAAAAAGCCTACGGAATGTAGGTTTTTTTGAATATCACTGGGTCCAGGATTGCAGCAGTAAGCAAATGCGCCCTCATTCAAGGAACTCATAATGTTGAACGGTTTTCTATTTTTCCACTGTGAAATCGAAAAGAAATGAAAAATATCTACTTAGGGTTTTAGAAAATTTGTAGCAGATTTCCGCATACGAATTTTTCGCACTATCCGAGCACAGTTGCCCATGTTCAAGCAACTTTTGTTTTTGAGCACCATTGAGTTGTTTTTTTTTCTCATTTTGTGAAAAAACTTCTCTCTGAGAATTCTGAGTAGATCAAAAAGGTAGCCAAAGCCTCGATCATCGTTTAGTGGGGCAGGTGTTGATCTGTGATTTTGCTTTATTAGTGTTTAAAGTCGACGACATGAGATGTTGAAATCAGAATTAATTGAACTTCAGTTTCGCAGGAATACTTGCTGTTAAAAAGAAACTTAGAGTGCGAGAGGATCAAGAAAGAAAAGAAAAGTTACTTCTATTGGATTTTACTTCTCAGCGTTCATTTTTTAGAAGTCGACAGCCAAAGTTACTGCTATTGGATACTGCTTCTCAGCGATCATTTATTGAAAGTGAACAGGCCTTTCAATCAGGTCACCCACGATTTGGACCAAATTCTTTGAAATGCACAAAAAAATGGCCACAAGAAGAAAAAACGTGAAATTTTTATGGTTGGAAAGATTTCCTTTTCTGATGTGCAGATCACACGTTATACATCGATAAAAAGCAGAAGTGGTTTTGAAAAGTTTGAGTTCTCCTCTACTGAACAGCATGAAAAACTTTTTGTCAAAGTCAGACCGAGCGCAAAAAAATGCGTTTGAAAATGAAATTTCCAAAAGTGTGCGGGAACTTTCTTTACAACCTAATAGTACAGAATTATTAGAGCATAGAGCTGTGCAATGAAATCTTCCATCAATTCATCATCAACGCTGAACTAATTCCTAACGGAGAAGATATGTATGTTATTTGTCAACTTCAATGTGATGTCCATGCGCGCAAATGTCAAGAAGCAATTAAGAGCATTTCATCATGTTCTAATGGGATTCCACCAATCCACCAGGAATTACGGTTTTTATCCAATTTATCGACATCAGACTGTAGTGGAAAAGCAATTCTGGTTTTAGATCCTCACATTTCCTATTTTAATGTAACATGATTGAGCTAGAAGTCGAGTTGGCGATATTTTAGAGATGACATTCAGTTGCGTTTTCTGTTGTTTATACACATTTAAATAGAAAAAAATTTCAGAATATATGCAGTAATGAATTTATAACACAGTTTCATGAAGCTAGTACTTTATACTGTGTACAGCTTACTAAATCTCTGTTAGTCAAAAAAAATTATCTCATTGTAACTTGTTCAAGTAAAGTGCATAAAAATTGCATCAAATAATTTTTTTACACAAAAAAAGCATGAAGAATTTTTTTTCGTTTTTATGGCACCACTGAGTGTAGCAAATTATATTAGTACATGATTCAATGATTGAAAAAATAAATGAGTAAATAAGTGATTGGATAAATAAGATGTATTGGTGGGTTCCAATGAAGTTTTAAACTTCTAAGAATTTTCGAAACTGTGCAACTCGAAATAATGCGACTTTAATCAAAATATCCATCAAGGAAAACTCGGTTTTTATCAATGTTGTTTTTATGTATGAACTACTTCTGTAACAGAGTAGATTTGAATAATTTTAAATTATTGTAATGCTGCTTCCTGACCACCGCTTCCCCCCCCCCCCCTTGTCAACTTCCGTAATTTTTCATCTCCCCTTTCCCTCGTCATGGAAATCGTATCCTCACGCAAACCAATTCCTATCGATGAGTGAGGTTCCGCTCTGAGTCTCGTAACCAGCCTTTGATGTGTGCGAGAACCAGAACCCATTCTCGAAAACGATGCCTCCTCTGTTCTCCCCCCTCTCTCTTTTTTCCCTCGTCCCGCCGCTTTTCAGAATGGCATCACAAGCGGGTTTGGTAGCGTTGATGTGAGACCACACCCAAACCGCGCGTGATTACGCGAACAATGAATCACTAGAGACTTACATAACTAAAGATAAAGATGAAGAGGACAGAGATCAGACCACGAACGATATCGATAGCCATGAGAATCATCCAAGGCACCAAAAGCCATTGGTTGTAGATGGATAGTCCTAATATGACAATTAGAAAAAAAATTTTCATCACATTTGGATAAGATGGAATAAGTGTAAGAACTAACCAATCAGAAGCAGAATAGAAGCTAGAATCAATCCGATATAGAGGAGGATATCGAAGAGAAGAATGGCGTAACGTACTAAAGAAGGAGAATTGTAAGTGAATCAAGGTAAAATAAAAAATGCTCACTTCCAGCGTCATATTTTAATTCTTCAGTGTAAAGTCCAAACGAACAATGGTAAGTGGTTGAATCTTCTACTACGACCGTAGTATGACCTCCATGGAATGTTAATTTGCGGTTTTCTGAAAAAAAAATAATGTCGGAAAACACAATTTCCCAAAAGCCAAGTGGAACTAAACGGTGAATTTTAACGTATAAGAAACCAAGATATTTTTATGTGTCTGAGTAGTGAAAAAAATTGAAATTTCTCTGACCTGCTGCCAATTTTCCTTGTGCCTCGAGTTCACAGCTACGATAATGAGAGACATCACCATTATTAGCGGTGTCCGATAATCCCCAAGCAGCTAAGCCAGTCAACAGTGAATAGAGGAGCTGAATATGAATGTCTGGATACGGAATGATATATTGTAAAACTCTAAAATCATTTCTAATTCTGCATAGATTTTCTTGGATGAGCGGCAAAATCCAGGCAAGATGTTTACAAAGGGGAAACTCCTCTCCGGTTATTAGTCATAATGAAAAAAATTGAAAGGAAAGCAAATGCTTTGGAAGAGGTGATGATGTACAACTTCAACATTTTTTAGGTACACATTTGACAAAGAGTGACCTTGGGGCACGTAAACATGAGTGAAACTATTGATTTTCCCTAGGAACAGAATCTTCTATTTAAAAAATGGAAAGGACTAGTGCCCGTAAAAAAAGTATAAAGATGTTGACATTTTATGTAAGTCAGCGAGATACACTTGATCTAATAAAAGAAATCGCGTCTCACAGGGATCGCTCTCAGGTTCAAGGACGAATTTCATTGTCAATGTAACCTTTAAGCAAATCATAAAGTTCCCATACATGAACAATGGATCTTTTTATAAATGCTTTCAACTTCCGTATATATAAGCTTCTTAGTTCTTGCACGATCCCAGATAACTAAAAATAATGCAGCAGGTCTGGGAACAAACAAAGCGCACTAATGAGAGATTTGACAGTAAACTTGAAGTAAAAAAAAGAGGAATAAGTAGAAAAGTAGTCTCAGAACAATGATGGGGAAACCATTACTCAAGTTTGAAAAAATTTCTCAAGATGAGGAAAAATACCATTTTTTGCAATAGAGCAATGCTTAGATATGAGAAATAAATCTTTATGCATAATCTTTCTGTAACCTCTTTGACACCTACGACAGAGAAAGCAGAAAAGACGATGGAAGGAGGGGGAGGGGTAAAAAAATGAATGTAAGTGAATGCAGTTTGACAGGCAAATTACGTTATCTCTTTGATATTGAGCGTACAATTAGTTGCGGAACGTCTATTAGGTTTTTTGCGCTTGATTGCTTCTGTCAGGTTATTAAGCGCAAAAATTTTTCTAAATTTTGATTCAGCATGACAGAAAATTGATGCAGAGTATGACTACTGGACTTCTGTGTAGGGAAAATTGTGCAGAAAATCTTCAGATAAGTTCTTTTTTGAAATCTTGAAAGAAAACCAAGAGAAGGAATGAGTAGGGTAACTTACCAAGGTGTATAGCGCTACCAGTATAGAAGCTGGTGTTAGCCCACAACAGAAGCAGCTACGAATCTGTACCTCGACCTTCGCCATCGTCACCGTCAGCGTCTACAAAACAACGGCGGCCGAGTAGTGATGCGCGAGCGTTTCGCCGCGTTTCGCGCACTCGCTCGTCGAACGTGCATACTGTCTCTCTGGGCACCGTATGGCCGTGGGGCCGCCCTCCACCCGAATGCGTACAGTGTCGTCTCCTTTCACTTCATGGCTCTCCACAAACAACGCACTCCATTCCCCCCCCCCCCCCTGCACCCGTCGACTTGTCAACCCGCCATCCCCCTCCCCCGACACATCGCCCCCGCCGTCATCCGCGCTTGCAATCATCGTCGTCGCCACCGCGCCGAGCGCACACCGGACCACGCCCAAGGACAAATCGTCGCTGAATACCTAGTAAATAGAGTCGTGTTCGAAGAAGTCGTTCGGGGACGCACGAGAGATGGATTACGCGGAGGGATTACAAAGTGCTTGAAAGAACCAGATCTTTATTCGGGTTATCAACTTGACATGATAACGTCTTTTGCAAAAAGTTATCGAATTAAGAAAGGAAGCTGTCAGAGATGGACCTTGTCGGAAGCGGGAGGGTGGGTGAAGGAGGAGCGGGGTAAGGGAGGGGGGGGGGATGAAGGGTGCATAAGCTTGTACTTAAAGACGACTAAATTCCTAACTGAAAAGATTTTTGCAATGGTTTGAAACGTAGCTGTACGCATCATTTTCTACTCCCCTCCCCCCCCCCCTCGCTTCCTCACCCCAGCTGATATCTACCGCAGTTTCAATTGGGATAGAGTTCTCAATAGTTCCCAAATTTGCATTTCAGCCTAGACATCTTTCTACCCCCCCCCCCCATCCCTTGAGGTTTACTTTCATCACTCTGAAAAAAGATTTTGAAACAAGGAATGCTGATCGAGTTATATTTATTTTCTATCGAAGACCCATTTTTCAGGAGCCAAAACTAGGAACATTCAAAACTAGGAAGCAGTGGCGGTCCGAGGAAATTTTCTGTGGGGGGGTGGGGGACGAAAATATTTTCGAATAAAGACGCGTGGCGTTATCTGAGCCTTCCGAAAGGGATTTTTGGAATGTTTTTCTGTTTCTAAACTTTTTGCGACAAAATTTCATAACCTATGTACGTCACTTTCAAAAATTTCTTGACTTTTGGCATTACTCGGACGCAGTTGAAAAGTTCGTCAGTAGTGCTAGACTTTCCCTTCATTCTAATTCGTAAAAAATTATAAAAAAATAGGAGAACAAATTCTATGTTCCTTAATGCGCGGAAACGCATTTACTTTTTCTAGGCCGTCACTTCGCATGGTTTGAAATGTGTGGTTCCACCATTCCCAGTTTTCCTCCTCAGTGCGCTACTCCCCTTTCCGCTTCCTTTAAAAAAAGTATGACTAATCGTGCAATGCACAGATTAGATTTTTACAAATTGCTCACGTGAACTATGACTTGCCCGCCACTAATTATTTTTCATACAGTAAAAACACTAATAATGGTAAAACCCGTTTGGGGTGATGAAAAACATCAACCACTGTGTGAAACTCACACCAATATTCAATCAAATCAACTGCATAATATCGACGGTGAAGGTAGTCAATGACGTCTAGTACATATGTTCGTACATTGTTCTACACACATTTGGGGGGGGGGGGGGGGAGGGGGGTGAGATAAAATACAAAATTCTACAACATTACCGTCATCTGTGGTAAAAGCAAAAATCTCTGAAGATATCCCTTCGTTCTAATGACTTCGTCCATTTCCTCCTTGAATGGCTGCGAAGAATCCTTGAAAACGAGTTTTGATTCGCGTTTACAATTGTTCTACGGATGTTTGCTCGTACTTGAAAACTTTACATTTTTAGTGAAGAGAGTCACTTCATTTTTTGCATCTACCTTAGTACCCTTGCGAATTTTGAAAAACTAACAAAAGAGGAAAATTGTCGTCTCACGCCAGATACTCTTCATTCTTGCACGGAAGAAATCTAATTGGCAAAAGCTCGTTTCATGGCCAGCCTGTTTAGCAAAGCCGACGAACAACCTTTTCTTTGACCATTGTCCCTCAATTTCTGGAAAAGTCCATTTACAGGTTTCGTCGAATGTGCTTTTTCACAAGGTGTTTTCTTTTGCCGACACACCATGGGTGCTTAATGGCCAGCGTTTGATTTACTGTACAGCAAAGTCCCTTAGTCGGTAATTTACGACAAATTATAATCTGTCTGCCAGGACCGGTTTTGGTATAACCTCATCAACAACGACCTTTGCTTTCGTGTGGTTGAGCACTTTGTGCAGAGTTAAGCGAATTTTGGAGAAAACTTTGTTAAATAAGCACAGGTACTTCTTGGCATGATAGTAGGATCTTATAACAGAGATCTAATAGATCTAGAAGTATGTTTGATTCAACGGGATTGGCGGCTGGAAGGCGGTGCTTCGAGGCCTAACCAAGGCTAGAGAATGATGAGAACACGCTTGCGAAGAGATGCAGATTGCGTCGCGGGTGGGCGCCGTCGCCTTCTAGCCGCCAATCCCGTTGAAGCAAAGTGTATGAGGATGCCTACCCCCATGAAATTTCCAAACGCTCCCAAAAACAGTGGTTTTGCAATCAACGGTAACAAACTGAATGGCTGCAAAATTTTGACGGGAAAGAAAAAGTGCATAGAGAAACGAACATCTCAACTAGACGCCGCCTGCGGTCTGCTGGTCATTTCGTCCTATTCGTGCATCGTGTGGGGACCAGTAGTCCGCGAAGACGGTGCCTAATTGAGGTGCTTGTTCTTCCAACCAGAAATAGTCAATCATTTTTTACAAGACTCCTTCTACATTTTCGTCATTAGGCAATAAGCAGAATGAACACTTCGAGCAGGAAACATTCGTAGTTCGAAAATTTGATATCTTGCGAATTTTAGTATGAGAAACACCAAAAGTGACATTGTTTCGTACAGAACTACTACATGAGAGTAGATGAACTCATGAAATTAGGGTAATACAATGGTTAAACTGCGCAGGAAGGAACACACAAAAACTTAAACCTTCCACAGCATACGAAAACGCTCGCAAAAACGATCCTTTTAAACTGCTGCCTGGGGCTTTAGGTTGAATAAAAAAATGAAGGTTTGTGCGAATGAATGGTATGGAACTTACCTGAGGCTCAAAAGTTGCTTGGCAGAACCTAACCCAACCATCTCAAGCGGAATGGTAAACTGTACTATCTTGGCTAGTAGCTCGCATACTTTTACAACGTCTTGCTTTTATGACTCAGCACATCTGTGTAAAAAATCACAATTTTTCAAAATACAGGATGTTTCGGAGGATAAGCGCAGTTCTGACCGTTGATATCGCTCTGCCCTGATGTTCTTCGCCAAGTTTAGGTACCATTCTATAGAACAAACAACTCATATTCAGTTGTGAAGCGATTCATTAATCGCTTTCGATCACTGTAGGATTACGGTAGAAACTTTTAGCATAATGGCCTTGCAAAATGACTGTAAATTCCATGAGATGTCTACAAGATTTCAAAATAACCTCCTAGCAGGATAAACACACTTTACATGTCGTTACTTACGTGGCAGTTCAAATAGAACAGCTATTCTAGTAAGGAAGCGCACTAGATGTGACTTTAGTCGCTATTTCCATATCCGCTTTTCGTTTTCGCGGGACAGCTCTCCGGAAGTGATTAACACGTTGATGACGGTGTCGCGCAATGGTGCCCTAAATAGCAGTTTTGAAGTGCACAATGGTTCCAATTTGTGTTCACATAATCAAAAGTATTTCATGTTAGCCCCGCCCCTTTTTGGCAAACTCCGCCTACTCCATTGCCCCCTGCAAATTTTTTTTCGTTCTCAAATCGCATAGAAAAGTTCTTGATGACTGGGGAACCTTAAATAGTATTAATTTTGAACCACCCTCGTAATGCAGGCTCCACCCCCTCAGTGGCAAGCTCCGCCCACTTTTCAAAAATGCCGGAATTCATTGACTTTGAGCAATTTCAGCATTTTTGAAAAGTCGGCGGGGCTCGCCAAAAGTGGGCGGAGCTGCCCCGCCCATTTGCATTTTTGTATCTCAGCATAGACATGCATACATACATGGAGCCGGCTGTGAAAATGCCCGGAAACGGTTCGTCCACAGGGACAGCCTTCGAAAATGGCTCGTCGTCAACGTGTTAAGAGCATTGAATGTCCAAATCTGTCACCCAAGTGGCATTAAATCAACCAAAAGCTCTACAAAAACACCTGAAAGTGTTAATATTATACTATTTATATCAGCACACCTACAAACATTGGTCCTTTCGTTGATTCTAGGCTGGCTTGGAGCTCAACAAATTTGAAAAGCTAAAACGCTCATCACTTCTTTCGAAAACTTGTTTCGCAGAAAAAGCAGAGTTGGAATCAGAAGATTTGGAATTTACAAACGCGTTTATTGATATACTCATCTTCAATCTCCAACTCTATTTGATATCCTTCCCTTTCAAGAGAGGGTGTAAAGTACAAAGAGGCCACTATCTTTGAATTGTTGTTGCACTATAAGTTCTTACCGCGATAGGTGGTACATCATAATTTTAATAGGGCTCAAGGGTTACCATTCGATAGAGCAAAGCAAGTTCTACAAGACTGCAAGAAAAAGTTTGCATTGCCTTCAACCCACCGTAAGTTTGCACCAAGATCTGAGTCCTACTGAAGAAAAAATCGCGAATAAATCACCTCATCACCTTCGTTCAAAAAAAATTCTACGAATCTTCAACTTGCTCACATCAGACACTCATATGTACGGTAGCTGTAGTTTTTCCTCATCTAGAAATCGAGAAAACGAAAATTTTTATGTTTATACAGAATCGAAGCTATGCTGTTTCCATTCAGCTGTAATTGTATACTACAAGTCCTTAGAAGCAACCGTAATATTTCAGCTCCCATAAGCCCTAGTATTCAAGAAATATTGTTTTTACAACACCCGAGCCGGGAGACCTAAGTATTGTAATTTTTGAAAACTAGAGCCAGTGGGAAGCTGAAATTTTGCAACCACACTTTTAAAGGCTTGTAGTATACAATTACTGGAGTGAAAACAGCATAGCTTCATTTCTGTACAAGCATAAAAATCTTCGTTTTCTCAATTTTTAGAAAAGAAAAAATGCAGCGACGGTACATATGAGTGTCTGATGTGAGCAAGTTGAAGATTTGTAGAATTTTCTGAACAAAAATGAATTTTCCCCAATTTTTTGATCCTTCAGCACGACTCAGATTCTGAATGCAAACTTACGGTAGGTCGAAGCTTGTGCGAACTTTTGCACACCACTTGCAAAGCTAGCTCTGCTATATCAAATAATTTCATGGAGCTCAACTAAAATCATAATGTGTACGACTTATCGAGGTAAGAAGTTGAAGTGTGACAATACTTATGTTAACCTAATAATTGGTAATCTCTTACCTTCCCATTGACTTTTTCCTTTCAACTGACTTAATTTGAAGGTTTTAGCTCTTTTCTCTTATTTACCTGTTAAAGAACTCAGATGGGCTATATGGATGGGTTACTTTTCCTTGTAAGATGACATCACGAGCTTTTCACCCTTACGCCTTAAAATGCAAACATATTGCAGTCAATACAAGTACAGAATAGCAGCAGCTTTCCATAAGGTCGATCTGGAAGTTTTGTTTTTAGAAATAATAATAGAAGTAGTAATAATAATAGCAATAATAACAGCACGTGGGTTAAAGACAGGTGGACGTTACAAACACTATTTGACGTAGCTCGCCTTTATTATTCCAGCAGATATATTTCTGTACTGGTAGCTCTTATCTTATATACTAGCTGGCTTACCCGGCTCCGCCGTATCCGGACCAAACTTGGCACACATACACTTCGGGCCCCGGCGGGTGTCACAGTCCACTTTTCGTTATCGATCGATGTCGATTTTACCGATTTTTATCGATTTTTTTGCAGAATTCACCTACAGGGCTAGGAGTTGGCACAGGGGGGGGGGAAGTGAGCATGGGGATTCCGAATACAATATTAGTTTCCAGAATTATCGATTACTTTTATTGATTTTATCGATTTTTTGTAAATTTTGACATGCGAGGCTGGGATTTTGCACAGGGGGTAATCGAGCATGCTGATTACGAACACAATATTAGTTTTCAGGATCGTCCATTACTTTTATCGATTTCATCGATTTTTTTTGTAAAGTTTGACCTGCGGGGCTGGGAGTTTGCACAGGGGGGTAATCGAGCATGCAGATTACGAATACAATATTAGTTTTCAAGATCGTCCATTACTTTTATCGATTTTATCGATTTTTTGAAAATTCGAGCTAGGGGGCTGGAATTTGGCACAGGGGTGTAATCGAGCATGCTGATCACCCCCCTTGGGGGTGATCAGCATGCTCGATTACCCCCTGTGCCAACTCCCAGCCCCCTAGCTCAAACTTTGCAAAAAAATCGATAAAATCGATAAAAGTAATCGATAATCCCGAAAACCAATATTGTATTCGGAATCCCCATGCTCGATTACCCCCCTATGCGAACTCCCAGCCCCGTAGCTCGAACTTTGCAAAAAAATCGATAAAATCGATAAAAGTAATCGATAATCCCGAAAACCAATATTGTATTCGGAATCCCCATGCTCGATTACCCCCCTGTGCCAACTCCCAGCCCCGTAGCTCAAACTTTGCAAAAAAATCGATAAAATCGATAAAAGTAATCGATAATCCTGAAAACCAATACTGTATTCGGAATCCCCATGCTCGATTACCCCCCTGTGCCAACTCCCAGCCC